CTGTTGAATGAGTCTTTGGTTGTGAAGATGTTGGAAATGCTAATTAAAGCATGAAGTTGGAATGAAAATCTCTTAAAAATAAAAATAAAAAAATAAAAAAAAAATTGGATAATTCCAACCCTCTTCATTTGTTTTGCTTGAATTTTGATTTGCTTGAGGACAAGCAAAAGTTTAAGTTTGGGGTTGTGATGAATCCACTTTTTATTATATTTTTACTTGCCTTTTTTATGCTTCTTGATAGAAAAAATGGACTTAGATAGTGAAAATAATATAGAAATCACATTTTGAATAAATATCATAGGTTTATTAATTTTTGGTTAATTTGCATTTAATTACATAGATATAGATTGCAATTTTAATTATCTTGATGATTTTGCAGAATGCCCAAGTTAAATTTGAGAAATCTTGGTCCTTGGATGAAAGTTGCCCACAAAGTAGCCACTTTGAGGAGCAAAAGTAGCAACTACAGCAAGCCTGGGCATTAAAGGTCCCAAAGTAGCCACTTTGAGGAGCAAAAGTGGCAACTCCAGAAGCTCCAGGGACGCCAATTTTGAAGCATGATGCGCGTGGTCACTATGGGCTCTCAAAGTGGCTACGCGCATCCAAAGTAGCTACTTTTAAGACCAAAAGTGGCAACTTCAGAAGCTCCAGGATGCTGATTTTGAAGCCTTCCTGCGCGTGGTTACTATGGGCTCTCAAAGTAGCTACGCGCACCAAAGTAGCTACTTTCAGCACAAATAGTAGCAACTCCAGAGAAGCGGCATTCCTTCCATTCTGCGCGTGGACACTTTCAAGGCCCAAAGTGGACACTTTCAAAGGCAAAAGTGGACACTTTGGTGACATGTCATCCACTATAAATAGATTTTAGGAATTAGGGTATGGGACTTTTGACACTTTACACATTTTTCCTTTGCCAAATTGGGATAATTGCTTACGACATTGGAGTCTTGGGTGACAGCCAAGGGTCCTCTATTTGTGAAGCCCATCCATATGGAGGGCTAAACTTTCTTGTAATTCCTAGTCAATGCACATAAATCTTGAATTCTTGGGATTAATTGCAATACAAATCTTTCTTTCCTTGAATTTATTAACCCCAATCTCTGAATGAAATGGAATTTGCATGAAGGGAACATTGCTTAATGAACCCTAATTTACTTAACGAAATTCTAATTCAAAATTGCTTAATTTTGATTAATCCTTGAGGTTGCTTAATCTTTGGGATAGAGATTGGAGCCTATTAAGATGCTTAATTTTAATTGGGATGTTAAAGTTAGTCTTCGCTTGTTAGATTAACTTAATTCAAGGGAAAGAAAGGGGATTATTGAATCATTAGAAAGAATAATGATAGAACTCATTGCTTGACTAGGGATTACTCATTTTAATTGATTGAATTTCATTAAATTTACACTTTGCTCTTGATTAAAATCTGGAAATTGACAAACCTCCCCCCAATTTACTTGCTTTAAAATACATGTTTACACTTGTTCGATGTATGTTCCTAACCAAAAATTCCTTGGAGACGACCTAGGATAACACCCTAGTACTGCATTCATTTCTTTGCATATTTGATGAGGATTAACGACAATCTTTTGCATGACGAGTAGCCCAAATATCGTTTCATCACTTATACGCCTCCTCAAGTATTATTTGCTTTAGTTCGTCCACTTAGGGAATACACACTCGGTTTTGAAACTTAATCACTCCATTTTCATCGCAGTGGAACTCCAGGTTTTTACCTTCACCCTTTTGCCTCATCACTTTTTGCAGGAAATCGTCTCCCTGCTAGGCTTCCCGAACGTACACTAGAAGGTCATTATGAATCGTCGTTGTTCCGAGATACAAACTCTTTGGTCTCACCTTCATAGCCAAATTCATATCCCGAAATTTCTCAATCAACCCCATCTCCTTCACCATCATCGCTGCCACGTGCAATGATTTGTGACTTAACGCATCGGCTACCACATTTGCCTTGCCAGGATGGTAAGACAATGTGAAGTCGTAGTCTTTGAGGAATTCTATCTATCTCCTATGTCGCATGTTCAACTCCCTCTGATCAAACAGATACTTCAGACTCTTGTGGTCACTGAACACCTCGAACCTCGCTCCATAGAGATAATGCCTCCACACCTTGAGAGCAAATACCACCGCGGCTAACTCCAAGTTGTGAGTCGGATAATTAAATTCATGCGGACGTAACTGTCTTGAGACATAGGCAACCGCTTGCCCTTCTTGCATCAAAACACACCCAAGTCCGTGCCCAGATGTGTCACAGTACACATCAAACTTCCGCTCTGGGTCGGGTAGAGCTAACACTGGTGCTGAAGTCAACCTTATTTTCAACTCCAAGAAGCTAGCCTCACACCCCTTGGTCCATTTAAACTCCTTCCCTTTGCGGGTCATCTTCGTTAAAGGCAGAGCTATTTTAGAAAACCCCTCAATAAACTTCCTGTAATAGCCTGCCAACCCCAGAAAACTACGGACCTCAGTTACATTCGTCGGTCTCGGCTAATCGACTACTGCTTCCACCTTTGCAGGGTCCACTCTTATTCCTTCCTTTGATACTATGTGTCCCAGAAACTAAATTTTTGTTAGCCAAAACTCGCACTTGGAAAACTTTGCGTATAACTGTCTCTCCTTCAGAATTTGCAAAACAATCCTTAGGTTTTGACTAAGTTAATTTTTAAGAAAATTAAGGTTTTATATGAGTTTATACTTTCTATTGCTTATTTATTTCCTTCCTTTCAAGTCCTAACTACTTTTATGAGTATTTGAAAAGTCTCACCCCTCTTTTTTATTTTTGTTTTGTAAATCTTTGATGTTGTGTCCAGGGGCACAAGTATACTCGACGATTATAACAAGATTTTGTTAGCAGAATTGCTACGTCCAAAAACACAGTTGTGTCCGTCAGATCATGGTCGCACAAGGGGATTCCTATGCACATATGGAATTCCATAGGTTATATAGGGTTATTTGAGTCAATGAGTGAGTAATTCTTTGATGTTGGATTTTACTAAATTGGTATGATACTAGTTAGGGATTTAACATTTACCTTGTGAACTGGTGTGGTATGGGACGCATTAAATCCTTGGAGTACAAGGTATAAAGTGGTATGAGGCGTCTTATGCCTTGTCCAAATGTTAAGTCAGTCTCTAAGACTACCAAAGAGGATAGTCTTGCAAGCTGCTTGTAATTAAAAGTGTGTTTGCTTAATTAAACTATACATATGACAAATTGTGTGAGTATGGATTTACCAAGATAAGACTAAGAATCAATTTAACTTGAGTTTAAAAGAAAAAAGTTAGCATTGTTGTATTTAGGAAAAGGTTGTTACAATATCATAATTCATTCCATCCTACCATATTGAGGGCTTATTTTAAACACTTAGCTTGTTAAAGATAATTAATAAAGGTTGATAATTTACAAAATTACTTGGCTAAATAAGAGAAAATTCAATTAGACATTTTTCCATTATATATCTAGTTTTCTAATTATGTACTTCTTAAAATTTATATAAGCTTAATTTGTTGTATGGTATTTTTCTTTTTCTAATACTCATAAAGCAATACAACATTTGAGGATAATATAATTGAAGTAATTGTACCTTTTAGTAAAGCTTTTACAATTTATTCATTTCATATTCTAATTAAATTTATATTTACCTATTTTTTATATGCAAAATCATATTTAACTTTGTATTCTTTTTACACCATATGTTATTGTTTATGAAGATATCACTTTTTTAAGTCTCACTAATATAATTGCATATAACACTTGTATATTTGATTTTGAGACCTATTTTGTAATTAAGTTATATGTATTTTGTTAGACATGTGGTTAATTAATAATTCACATGAGACATAAACAATATAAATAAATTTATAGTAATTAAGTCACGCTATTTTTTTAATTTTTCTTATATTTTATCTATGTTTTAAAATGGCTTAAATAAGTTATTAATTTCTAAAAATATCATGTATTTTGATTTTAATCTATAAAAATTTTATTCAATTTTAACCCCTATATATAACAAAGCATGTGAATTTAGTCTATCTTTAAGGACTAAAATCACATATTGTTTTGTGATTTTAGGTACTAAAATCAAATAAATATTCTACAAAGACTACAATAAAAAAAAGTATGATACTTTTAGAGACCAACAACTTATTCAAACCTTTAAAAGTTAAGAAATATAATACTCAAACCAAACTAACCCAAGTACCCTTGGATTGATTTGGTTCATATATTGATGAAATCTTATTGAAATCAAACATATCAAATCAATTACTTTTTATTGGTTCAAATTTATTTTTTTCAAATAATCGGTTCAATTACACACCTTAAAAATGTGTTAATTGAGGTGAGATCAAAATTCTTTTTTGTTAAAAAATTAATGAAAAAATCGAAGCTAGAATAATTTTATTTTATAAAATAGAAAAGTACTATAATTTCTATTAAAATTCTATTGCAATTTTTACTAAAAGCATTTTATTTATTAACTCTTTAATTAGTGTTCTTAAAATATTTATTAACAAAAGGTAATAAAATATGAAACTTTTTAAGTATAATTTGGATGTTGATCGCAAGATTATGAGTTTAGATTGCATAACTTTGTGACAAAAATTTACTAATTTTAAATGAGTTTGAGCCATTGATTTCAAATTTGATGATCAAGATTTTTCCATATATTTTGAAAAAAATTAAAAAAATAGGTGAATTTTTTTACCATTAAATTTAAAATTAATAGCCAAAATTTACAAAGGTTAGAGAATTCATAATTCTCGATGTAACAAGATATGTTTTAACTTCTTAAAATCATAATCCATTGTCGCCATGCTAGATGCATCGATGTTTTAAAAAATTAGACAATAATTCCAGGAAATATTAGTAATACTTTTTTTAGATTCATCATCTGTTATTGATTAAAATTTATGCTAAATTTTACCAATTACGTAAATCTTACTCAACTTAATAACTTTCATTTGTGCTTTTATAATTTTTAAAAAATTAATAATTAAGAATATATTAAAAAAGAAATTAAAGAGGGAATCTTATCAGACCTCTCGTTTTAACTTCAACTAAGAAAGTTCACATCACAAATCATTATTGCATGGTCAGATGACAATTGAACAATCATGGCATATGGGAAGAATAAAACCAGCTTGCCCCAAAGAAGTGGAAAAGAAAAAGCTTAAAGAATGACATGCAAACTCCTGCGCTAAGAACAATGTGTACCAACGACATATGTTTTAACCCAATGCGACTTCTTTAAATTTTAGAATGCAGTCCAATGCTTTCTTGAAATCATTTTCTTCGAGTGCAATGTTGAATCGACAGTATCCAGGAATTCCAGTCCATGACCCACTATTGATGCATAATCCGGTGGCTTTGAGAATGGTATTCCTAATATTAGAGTCATCGAGCGTTATTTCCTCACTGGCATTTCCGTGGCTGCCTTCACCTTTTGGTGAAATCTTCAGCTTAATAGTCTTGTTAAGATAGGCAGAGGGCTTAGCCACAACAGACACACCAGCACACGATTCAAGCACATCCCACCCACTTTTCTCAAGAACCTACGGTCATAACACAAGAAGATAAAGAAAAAAATACAACCATGAAATAACAAATAAACTAAAACAAAATTCGAACAGAAATGTTTAGCAGATCAGAAATTACCTCTTTCAAGCACTTGGACCTACTTCTCAATATTTTTGCGTGCTCTAAAATAGCATCTGAAAGGTTTGATGGTTTCTGCTCTCTAAGCTCCAGCACTTTCTTGGTAGCATATCTAACAGTAATATGAGGTTTACTTAATCCTGAAAAACTATAAAATGTGTCAACTAAATTGGGCTGGTTTAGAATAAGAAACCCAAATCTGAGAACACCATTGAGCATCTTTAAAGACAATCCTCCAAGAAGACATACACAGAACGATGGCTTGATTGAAGAATTCAGCTTAGACAGACACCCCTCTAAATCCCAGCCACCCCAGCTTTCACAGTCAAATTCCAAACCAGAGAATGTAGTATCAATTATAACTCTCGCACCAAATCTAGCACAAGTGCTTAAAATCTCTACCATCTCATTGTTGCTATAAACAAAGCCAGTGGGATTGACTGTAGGACCAGAAATATACACCCATGGGTTTTTCAGTGTCTCAAGGAATCCAGTGAGAGTCTTTACTGTGAACTTAAAACCTACATTAACATTGGTGGGGACTGTCACTATGTCAGCTTTCAAAAATCTGGCAGAAGAAACATAGTTCCCGTTTGATCCAGCTGGAAAACATAGGGTGCCACCTTCTTTGATGCAGCAGAGGACCAGTTTATTGAAAAGAGCTTTCGAATTGTCAGCATATATAAATTCAGTGGTGCTATCTGTCGGAAAACCATAATTGCTCTTGACAAATCCTTTGATGCTTGTGGTGACATCCGTTTCAGACTCAGACATGTTTTGTCTAGCAAAACTTTCAAAAATAGCTGCCTTAACAGGCGAAGGAACAGGCAAGAAGATTTGATCAACATCCATGTGGATCAGCGACCCATTCTCCACCCGATCAATACATAACTCAGCATTATTAAGGACAGATAGAGCCGATCTGGCAAATCCTATCATATCAGCTGATTCAACATTTTCACAGTTTCTCTGAAGGCAGCAGTTAAAATTGAAGTGATAAGAAAACTTAATATGGGAAATAAACTAGTGTATGGACAACTGTCGTGCATGACATATATAATTGTATAGAAGAGATATCTTTACATTGATTCATGGCATGCTCCCTCCTCATAAGCAACAATAAGGAACTTGCAAATAATAGTCATCAAAATGCAAAGAACTAGAAAATTTATGGCAGCGTATTCTGCTGTCAGATGCCAATCTTCAACTTTGGCAGACCCAACAATTAAAGCATGTAATTTGGTGGATGATTTTTTATAAAATAGGTCATTAGCGATGAATCAACCTAGATCATTATGCTGAAGATAATGTTATCTTAACTAACCCAGCAATTACTAATGTCGTGGACAAAAAAGTCAGTTTGGTATGAAATGTGGGTTCTCCCTTTTTCCTATTTAAGTAGACATTAGGAGATGACAAGCTGTTTGGTCCTCTATTAGCAAAATTCAGACCCTAATGTCTCATTTCAATAGGTGATAACATCCAGCTAGGCAGCTACTACTCCATGAATGACTTTGACACAATTCTTTGTATGAATTTAGGAAGAGGCAAAGGATAAGAGGAAAATGGGAAGTTCGCTAGTAAAAGTAGGTTTCTATTTCAAGTTTTTTTACATATTCTTAATACAAAATTCTTATGTAGCCCAAATACATTTGGATCCAAAAAGGAAATAACCAAAAATATATATAAGAAACAATTTTACATAATAAAAGCAACTTAAGCTTAGAGGCAAATAAAAAGAAGAGACAGACCTCTGCAGGTGCATGCCGGCTGGCAAGCTGGAAAGCAAGAAGCTCATGAAAAATGCAGCCATAATAGTACTGACTAATTAATGCAGTACTGCCTTCTAGTAATTCGACAGTTTTGGACAATGCATTAAAGAGGGATTCTTCTTCCGAAATGACAAATGCTACTTCTAAATCCGGATAAACCTGTAAAGCATGAATATCAGCACCATCAATAAGATATGTTAATATCAAGCCAAAACAAAAGTTGAACGTACATACTTAGTAGTAGGCCAATGAGTTAAAAGGGAATATTACCTTATTCTTTACCAGTCCACATATAACTGCCGCATGAGAGGGCAAAGGAGTTCCTGAAAGATACTTCAAGACCCCATTTGATCCCGGAAGGCTGGATAACTCAAAGTGATCTGATATATCCAAGAAAAGACGAGATCCAATCTCTCGTGTTGTATCTAAGAGGTGCACAAAAGCTGAACTAGTAACGGCCTCAAAATGAGCAATCCCAGTTACCACCACTTGAGGCTTCAATTTCTTTATTAGTTCTATCATTAAGTCTGATTGTCGAGGGGCCTCAATTACCGTAATTGCATCATCTGAAGAGTCAATAGTTCCGGTGCTCTACTTGAAAGATAAAAATATTGTTAATGAAAATGCAAAAATCAAACCTAATTGGTATCAACACGTTACACATGAAAATCATTCTGTCATGCTTTCAACATATGGAATCCAAGGTTTCAGAACCACATACTACTATGGGTAAAGTTAGTTCTTGTCATTTGATACAATTTCTAACTCCATGAGAAGCACTCAAAATAGCAACCGATAGATGAGTGTTGATAATATTAGACACCACAATATACTAAGTATTTACAACTTCCTAATGGCAAACAATAAGCAACTAACTTTCTGGAGATGATCTCACCAAGATCATCTGTTTTCATCCATTGATAAATGTTGGCATATGTGATGCGTGATGTTCAGACTTGCCTTATTCTGAGAAAACTTAAAGATTGATTGTAAATACACAGGTTAACAAACGACAGTTTAAATTCATTTTACGAAATTCAGTCATGTCTGTCAAGACCACCTCACAGATTTGAAGTCCACCCCAAAAATGGGATGGTGTGCACGTGGGGACATGGAAATATCATCAAGAAATAAATCTGAATACAACAGATCTTACTCTACTTTAACGAAGTGAATGATGCACACCCAGCTCTCGATCATTTTCAGTTAATAAAAGAATTTTTGAAAATTTTTAGTAATGTTAGGTCATCACCTAAAATTGCTTTTAAGTAGCATCTATTTATTTTAGTTTGTAAAAAAAAAAATAGCTATTCAAAGCTTCTGCTGGCATGAGAAATTAGAATCAGAATATTTCGCTCTAAACAATCCTTCTGTCAATCTTGTACAGATTGGATCCGTATGTGGATACATGAACTACATGCCCATGCAAGTTTTTCCACTAGAAACTAGCCAAAACTGTTCAAACGAAAAGCAACTTGTTTTCTGACAGAAAAAACTTTTTAAGAGGTCAGCAAAAAAGGTCACATAAAAATTCAAATATGCACAGGGTTGCATTTCTTTCCAAAATGTGTTCCCATTATTAAGAGCGTTTTTCTAGAAAAAATACCACATCAAGGACAACTACTCACATAATAGAATTTCTTCCAACACAATGAGATAAGACTACAGGAACACAACAAAATATTAATCAAATTCTAAAAGTCCCAAGGCATGACTATTCCATACCTCAAGTGCCAAAGATGTTAACCACTGCCTAGGTAGGTGCCGAGTCAGATGTTCATCAACAAGTGCAAGGCGAGGTGAGAACAAGCGAAGAGCATTCTCAATGGCTGCAGTCCTTGAGGGAAAAATGACAACATTCTTGCACAAGATTTCAATAGAGAAGTCAATATGGTAATACATTATACAGACCGAACAAATATAATATAGGACATGTAGTTCCCAAACACTAGCTCAAGGGGAATGGTTCACACGTAACATGTTATTGACAAAATTAAACAACTTAAAGACAGCACTACATATATTTTCACTTTCTGTTGTTGATAAATTTGCACCCATGAGCCACAGCAGGTACAGGCATACATCCCATTGCAATAATAGAAAGAATTCTGACCCCGAAACTCTTGGCTTTAAACTGAATGTTGAACAAATTTTTTGTTACTTCAAGTGGGAAACATCTATACTCTACCAAGAGACCAAGTTAAAAAGGAAAAAAAATCATATTCATCTAGTTTTCCATCTTTGGCTTTGTTGTTATTTTTTTGTGGATTACAGATGTCTTCTTAAGGCATTCATATAAACTAGCACCATCATATCCTCTTAATTATCTCGTGCTTAAATTTAAAACAGATATTACATCGGAAGGGTATGCAGGATTTGACAGCACTTGAACCATAAATGATAACTGGCCCACCTATTGGTCCTTCTAGTGTAACAAACCAATAGAGGAAGTTCTTTTGGATAATTATGGATTTAAGATTCAGGAAAAAAGGTCTTCCATACAACAGCTGAGGCTTATTTTTTGTAGTGCAAACTAAAGGGACTTTCAGGTTACATGACCACTGTCCCACACCTTTTTAGGAAGTCCAAGTTACGGTTTAAACTAAAACGTCCTACCAATAAGTTACTAATCCATGCCCATACAAATGTTTGGAACTTACAAATAAAACACTAGAATTCTTAAATAACATTGATCTGGCCCAAAATACCACACATAAGCAGAAGGTAAAAGAATTAATTAAATTTTATGAAAATTATAAAAGTAACCCTGCTACTTAAAATTTACTTTTCTACTGCTCCTGCATCACATCACATATATTACACCTGTTCATTCATTATTGTATTGAATTTTGCTTGCAGCAATAAAGAACAGTATTTACATGATGGCCCATCTACAGAAGATATTTACAGTAGACTTCAGTACAAAGTTAATATAGCACTCTATTCTTCTTACATCAGCGGTGAGTGGAATATGGTGATACGTCTTCAAAAACCCTGCAATGAGATTGCGGAATCGTTTGCTTCCAGCTGGTGGTTCATATGGAAAATGAGAATTATTTTTTAAAGTGCTGGCAAGATAAGCAAGGAAAGGAATCTTCTCATCAGCAACAGAATCTTCATCAAAAGACAAATCTAGAGAGCTGCTGACCTCTTGAAATCCATGTTTTAGAAAATCAAAAATAACCTTAACCTGTCAGTATAGAAATGCCATTGCGCTTCAAGTTTTCTCCAGGGCAATTAATAGTCTAGATTGAATTAACAAGATTTTGTGAAGTACCCACCTGGTTAGGTTGACGAAGTTGACAACTGTATACTGATAAAGCATGGGAAATGCTGCCACCAGACTTTCCATAAGCCCATGCTGTCCGTGCACAAATAGGTTGATCTCCAGAAAGTCCCATAAAAAACTCAAAACGGTGTGGGCTGTTCTTTTCAATCTCAACTAAGGCTGCAATATCTGTGTCGCCAGCCTTTAACAATACATCTCAGTAACATAATACTTCCACTGGAGAAACGAAATATAGTCAAACACATGTTTACTAACCTGAATTATTTTAGTTTGCCAAAGTTTTGTAATGCAAAAACCCCGACGTTCAAACAATCGTTTGCAAACACCTTGACCTGGGCGGCCCCCCATATTAAAAATCATAATTCCTGTTGGTTTGATTACTGCTATCCCCTCTTCAACTGCTCTTGCAATTAAACCTAAGCCAAACTGGTCCTCCACAAAACCCTAGACACAACAAAAGACAAAATAAACGAGAAAATGCTGCATTCATGTCACAAATAGGCAGACAACACATCAATAAAAAACATCTATATATTGCCATAATCATCAGGTGAATCAGGGACAATTTTTGCAGGTAGAAGTGCTATATTTATAACAAAGTTATTCTTGTAGCTTCACACATACAAATCATGAAATGAGTAAGAGGTAAAACTTTAACTGTTACCAGAACAAGACATAAAAGTAACTCTGAGGAAAGAATATCATAACAGGCTGGCAGGAAATTACGAATCATGGTGCCAACAAAAAAATGCTTATTCTATTTCATTTACCATATCTTTTGGAATTGGTGAGGATCAGATTTGGTGCTTAGCATGAAAACAGGACAGGCAGGACATAAATGTCAAGTTCCAAGTAAATAGCAAATGAAGAATAAAATAGATGAAAACATGATCTTGTGTACCTGAAGTGCACAATAATTACTCAATGAATGAAGGAATTCCTCGCTTGCATTTTCTGTTATCATCTTAGACATTGCATCTGGATTTGGATTAAGAATCTGCGGGGAGGCATCTAATTTGTAATTTTATAATTGGATGGGTTGGATGTTTGGTGGATAAATGAATGGAATTGGTACCCCTAATGACAAGTGTGTGAACACAAGTAATGGTGGTGGAATTACCTGAGGTATGCATCCGACAATTCTTTCAAGTTGAATGTCATTTTCCCTGCAATAGGATAGAAGATCAGATTCATGAAATTCTACCCTGTCCAGCAAAGTTTTCTTCTCCGCGTCATAGATGGGCTGGCCATTATCATCTAAAGCATTCAGGTATAAGTTTATCAAGGAAACCTTTACCGCTCTGGGATTGATATCAAGGCCATAGACCTGCAGAAAATAGTGATGTCATGAGAAGGGAAATGGGAAAAATGAAATGAGGTGAGTGGGTTGAAGGGAACCTTGGAAGGCAACCACTTCTCAGCTATTGCAATGGATATCCATCCATTTCCGCAACCTAACTCGGCGACAGTCCTGTCCTTGAAAATGGAATCCGGGTGTCTATTAATCCCTTCATAAAAAGTGAAGGACCAGTCTTCTGGGAGAAAAATGCTAGGAATAACCATCATAGTCAATTTGCTTCTGCCTTGGTTTCCTGCATTGGAAAAGCGAAGAAGTGAGTTATCTGCATTCATTGAGTTCAGCGCGGACAAAGGAAAAGGCATACCCTCGTGTTGACCCAAGAGAACGTCTTCGATGCGAAAATGATAGGTTTGAAAGCATTGATCGCATGAGTCTTTGGTGGGAAAACGCTTCTGAAGGTGGGAAAGGAAAATCCGAGCCTGCGAACGGGTCTCGGGATTCTCAAGGCGCTCCAGCAGTGACCGAAAGCAGGCATAGGCAGCGTCGCCGGACTCCTTGCACTGCACCAGAAACTCATCCACCGTCGTCCACCCCATTGCTTGCATTCAGTGAGAGAGAACGAATCCCAAGTCAAGTCAGAAGAGAGAGAGAAGTTCGTTAGAGGCCACAAAGATTCTGATTTGTGAGACTCAGCACTCGCGACCTTTTCTTTCCTATCCCCCTTCTTTATTGGAGCCTGTTGGAAAATGATGTTTTCGTTTTCCTCCTTTGACTATCTTTTCCTAATTTAATTTCAAAATCACGTTTCCGCTGTTTTATTCTCACATTCGGAGAAGATTTTTTACTTCCTTTTCAACTTTTTTAACATACACTTATATATAAAAATAGTAATAATTTATTTATAATATTTTTTTTCAAAAAATACAACAGAACTTTTTATATTAATATCTCTAAATACTATATTTTTAATTAAAATTTAATATTTCTTAATTATATAATACAAAATACATATTAAAAAATAGTATTTTTTATTTAAAAAATTAAAGAAAATATATATAATTAATTTCATAATTTTATTAATCTCAACGTATAAAACTAATTTTAAGCATATAAAAATATTAGTTTTTAGTAAGTAAGATTTATTATAATTTTATGTTTCAATATAATATTTTTATTTATTAAATATCACATTTTCTCCAAAAACAATAAAAATGAATAAACAATAAAAATAGCATAATGGATAAAAAGTAAACAAATAAAAGAAACATACCTTATTAGTGATAATAAACCTCACCAATTGAAATATTAATTTGAAAATAATACAAAATAATAATGTTAAATGAGAGTAACAACTTTAATTATGTCCTAGCTGCAGAAGAGTGGTAATCCGACTGTAAAACAACATAAATTATACCTCAAATTTACTTGGAATATGAACATACATTAAAGAAAATCTATCGTAAAATATATTATTATGCATCAAAATAATTTTTATGAAGATATTTAAAATAAAGCTTAATTCTAATATATTGTTTATGTGTTTTCAACTAATTAAAATATATAATAAGTATTATTTTTAATTTAATTATTATAAAATTGATAATTTTGTTGATATAATAATTTATAATTACATGATAGTATAAAAAGAATTACATTGTTACTAAATTAATTAAATTTATTTTAAAATTTAACCAAATTGTAAATAAATTCTTTTAAGGACTATTTTAATTTTCAAATACTTAATCATAATCTACTAATAATAAATAAATGATTAAATTAATAATTTGATCCTTTAACTTTTAATTTTATTTTAGTTTGATCTTTTTATTTATTTATTTTTATTTAAGTCTTCTAATTTACAAAACTGTTTTAAATATATTATTTTTCATAAACATATTAATTTTGTTAAAAAAATTATTATTTATTTTTTCTCCTTACGAAGTCTAGCAAAAATATAGTGATTTTGATGAATTTTTTAACTATCTCTTTTTTTTCTCTTTACTCTTTTTGTTTTCTTCCTTTTTTTTTTTTGTTATTTCATAATTTTTTAGTGTAGAAAGAGGAAGAAAAGGTCCAAAAATTTGAATTGAGAGTAACTTGAAAGGTCATAATTTTTAAGCTGTAATCTCCACTTAATTTATATCCAATCTTTCATTTCTTTTACAATCAAAACCTTTGTTTATGAATAGACATGAATTTGAAACAAAAGGGATAATTTTTATAAAAAATTTAATACTCTTTTGTTAAATCACACCCTTCAATTCTCTTTTGCTCAATATTTATTAAAAATCATAAATTTAGTTTTTTCAACTGAATCAATTGTTATTACCTTCTTCTATTTCTTAGTGAATCATCTCCCAATTGAAATTTCATTCTTTTTTATTTCCATTAACAATTGAATTAACATGATATTCTACAACTTCAAATTTGGATTTAGTGATGTTTTTCTCAGTTCTAGAAAGAAAATTGATTAAATTTAAAATTTCGACACTAGTTTAAGTGAAGTTTATGGTAAAATCAATCAAAGATAGAATGTTAAGAATTAAAGATGCAACATGCTGGTAGAAGTCATGACTCTGTCATAGTTTAGTAATTGTGTTAGAAATTGCATATCACCTCAAAGGGTCATTTACATTCTAGCCTTAACTTCTTAGGTACCAATTTTAGTTCTATTTTATTTTTGTTCCCATTATATCGGAGTCTACAACCTGATTTACATTTGAAAATCTTAGACAGCCACATGGAAAAGGAAAAATTGATGTTTATATCCCATGTTTAGTGATCATGGGGTCACTTGAGTTTAATCCTTTAGGTAACTGATAAACATTTCAATATCAACTCATAAGCTTTCCTTTCAAGAAAACTGCTTAAGTTCCATTTACACCACTTAAGCTATCATGCTTGTCACTTAGCCATCTTGTAAATGAATTTGAATCTTTTTAACCTGTTTGTATTAAAACTTACAAGCATATATTTGATTCTTGTCCATTCTATTAGTTTAGTTGGCCATTAAAAAAAAACCTTCACTAGTCTAATACACTTGAATGAATCAACTTAGACAACTTGGACGTTTATAAGATTATACATATATACATACTCAATGCATCATTCCTATCCATGTAAACTTAAACAAGGCATAACTAAGGGCATGTAAATCCTATTACATTTGTTCATAGTATTTTAAGAAATATATTAGTTAAGGTATAAATAAACAAACTACCAGCAAGTGTATTACAACATGAAAGAGAAACATGACATAAATTCCTAATGTTCCACTACTTGAGGACTCTTGGGTATAGGTTGTGTCCTTGCATTGATATGTGTTAGAGGGGACAGTAAAGGTAATTAAAGGAGAATTCTAAACTCTTCCGTACTCTAATACTTCTGTAAGGCATGAAGGAGTTGGGTGCTATCCAATCTGTAGATGATGGGTTCTAACGAGCCTCAATGTACATCTGTCTTAGTCGCATCGACACCTTTCACTTTTTGACGTTTTGCAGTGCAATTCTTCCATGCCTTGAAAATCATCTTCTCGTCTTAGGAAAATGGAGAAGTTACTCTACATAAATATAAAGTAATTAGTATAGGTGCAAGAAATAATATCTAATTAATTGACTGTTATTAACCTCCAATCTTTAAACCATTTCAGTTTTGTATCCTTAGGTACCTTTGCACATCTTGCGTAAAGCGTATCAAACATCTTATTGATGGTATCTGTCACCTAGTAGAGACCCTTTTGTGATGGTATCCAACTAAACATAGAATAAAATAACAATTATTATAACATTCACATCAAATAGAGTTATTAGGCATATTTTGAATTTAACTTACTAAGTGGATCTTGTTGGACATCTTCTATACACTAGCAAGTGCACTAGGAATTGCAGTAAGCAATAAGCAGATTTTAAATCCAAGTATCGTCTCCACAGGGATTTTGATTCAATTACCACTTCACAATTAAATCACTCGTTGAGCCAAATCGAGATTCAAGTTTTGAGCATTAAAGATAAAAGCAAAGAATTAAGCAATTAACAATTCATAGAAAAACAGAGTAAAATTTGGAAAGTATATGGTGTAAGGTAGGAATGATTTCACTTCCTTGAATAGCAATCCGTTAGGTTCAAACTCAATTTCATTGAATAATTGAAGATCAATTTCACTAAGTTAGTCAAATCCCAATCCCTTGGTAATATGACCTTAATGTTCATTTAAATTCCCTAATTCCTTAGGTGAAGTTCAAATTCCCATTAGATTAGGTTCAAGAAATTATCAGACCACAAGATTAATTATGATTATCTCTAAGTCAATCACAATCTTGACATTCAACTCAGATCAGAGAATTAGCATGATTTCCATTAATGAATTTCCTCCAAGTTTAATTCAATGAGTGATTAATTCAAAGAAAACATTAAGAAAGGAGTTGAATGTTCAATTAATCCAACGAAATACAGAGTTTAAACCCTAACTAATTACAGTCAATTCAGATCCATCACTCTTACAAGGAGATTTAGCAATGTATTACAGAAAACTAAGAAAAAGAAAAAGTAGATGAAGAAGAAATTATCCAAGAATCCATAGCAATTTCAATCCCCAAGCAGGATTCCTCTCTCCTTGAAGCTCGAAATTTGCCCTTAATCCTCTCTCTCTCTGTCGCTAAGAACTAAAAATAAAAATGTAAAAATATGAGAAAAAAAAGTTTTACATTCCGCGTCTTGGGATCTATTTATAGAAATTCTGCAGTTGCCATAGTAATCACTATGAAAAACCATAGTGATCACGTGCAGCATCAGTAGCAACTTCCCTTCCTGTAGTGATCACTATGAATTACCATAGTGATTACGCGCAACACTAACAGCTCCTGCACTTGTATTTTGCTACTGAAGTGATTACTATGAAGAATGATTGTAACACCTTATATTTCTTTCCTCAATACATGATAAATTTTCATAAAAATTAATATGGTAAAGTAAATTTTCCTTCCAAACTTTCTAATAAGGAAAAGACATTGAAATCATATAAGGTTCATAGAGTAAAATTTCATTAATTCATAAGTACTTTAGGAAAACAAAGATTCTAAAGTTTTCATCAGCAATAAAGAGGAATAGTAGTTTTACAACATTTTCAAAAGAACGCTATAGAACTGAAAATATTCATTACATAACTCAAAATAACTAAGTCCTATAGCAGTTCTCATCCATCCATGCACTGTGAGCCTGGTACTATTCGTCCTGGTTTCCTGAAAAATGTTGTGTAAGGGTGAGTCCCTACCCTGCCACTCATACATAACATATACATTCTTCACAAAACACATCTTATCACGATTAACGAAAACATCATGACATTACATATCACAAGGTTATATAAAGCATATTCTCATCTCAACGCGCATTACTTTACATAGATTCACAATTTCTTTTACTTTTATCCGCGCTTACCGCGCCCTGTGGCCACAGTTATCCGATGCCTCTATCTCGAGGTCTTACACATTCATGTAAATAGTCGCCGGATGGCCCAATGCAATACGGATACAACGCATGCAATAGACGGCCCCTTAGCAAAGGTAATGGTCAGGAGTCAAGTCGAGAAATGAGTGTGTGGCCATGTGGTGCATTCGAACACAATATTCCGTGCACAATCCCGAATGTCACTCACCACCCTGCATTTCCCCAAGATATCCCATATCGTCTCCATCTTCCACTT